GTTTATATATCACTTGAGGGGAGGGCACACAGAAGCCAGAAGACAGTTCTGACCTCGTGTGGGCCCCAGGAGTCAAACCTAAGATTCTGTCAGGCTTGGTGACGAGAAACCTTACTTGCTGAGCCTTCTTGCTGGCCCCATATTAGTTACTTTTAAATTCATGATAAATCCATTATTTTAATCTGGGTATACAATTAAATGTCTAAAATGCTCTATTTGGGGATGTTGAGTGTAGTCCTCTGAATGAAGCCGAGTACTATGGTCTATGGTCATGACCCTAAAGTTAGTATGTTGAAAAAAGCATCCTCAGTGTATCAGTACTAAGTAAGGATCATGGAGCGTCACCGTCACAGAGTGGATAATGCCACGAGAGTGGGTTAGTTAGCTCAAAGGTGATTTTAATGTTAGAGCGAACTTGAGTATGTAGAGCCTAATAGTTCCCAGCTATTTCCTTGGGTTGAGTAAGTCAGTTAAAAGAATATTTTTTTAATTTTATGTAGATGAGCCTGCATGTGCACCGTGTGCGTGCCTGGTGCCCTCATAGGTCAGAAGAGGGCGCTGGATCACCTGATGTTGGAGTTGCAGGCAGTTGTGAGCCTCCATGTTGATGCTGGGAAGAGCAGCCAGTGCTGAGCCATCTCTCCAGCCTCTAATTTTTTTCTTTTGGTAGTAGCTCTTCTTTTTTTTTCTTTTATTGAAAATAGGTTCCTTTCTCATACAATATATCCTGATTATAGTTTCTCTTCCCTCTGCTCCTCCCAGTTACTTCCTACCTCCATGAGCATGGGCGATCTTCCCATCTACTGGTATCAGTTTCTTTCTTCAAAGACTTGAAGCTCTTACCGTACAAGTTACTCCAAGATATTTTATACTATTTGAAGCTATTGTGAAAGGTGTTTCCCCTGATTTCTTTCTTCATCTGTGTGTTGTTTGTATGTAGGAGGGCTACTGATTTTTTTTTTTTTTGAGCTGATCTTGTATCCAGCCACTTTGAAGGTGTTGATCAGCTGTAGGAGTGGAATTTTTAGTGTCGATTATGTATGCTATCATATCATCTGCAAATTTGACTTCTTCCTTTCCAATTTCTATCCCCTTGATCTTCAGTTGTCTTACTGCTCTAGCTAAAACTTCAAGTACTCTATTGAATATATATGGGGAGAGCGGACAACCTTGTCTTGTTCCTGATTTGAGTGCAATCAATTACTTGGAATTTCTCTCTATTTAATTTGATATTGGCTGTCGGCTTGCTGTAAATGACCTTTAGTATATTTAGATATGGCCCTTATATCCCTGATCTCTCCTGCACTTTTATCATGAATGCTTATTGGATTTTGTCAAAGGCATTTTCTACATCTAATGAGAAGATTATGTACTTTTGTTTCTTTCCATTTGTAACACATATTGACTCATCCTTGCTTCTCTGGAATGAAGCCTAGGTGGTCATGGTGGATGATCTTTTTTTTTTTTTTTTTTTTTTTTTGGTTTTTCGAGACAGGGTTTCTCTGTGTAGCTTTATGCCTTCCCTGGAACTCACTTGGTAGCCCAGGCTGGCCTCAAACTCACAGAGATCTGCCTGTCTCTGCAGTGGATGATCTTTTTGATGTGTTCTTGGATTTGGTTTGCAAGTATTTTATTGAGTATTTTTGCATTTATAGGGGAAACTGGTCTATAATTCTGTGTTGAAATTTCTCTTTATGTGGTTTGGGCATCATAGTAACTGTGGCCTCATAAAATGAATGAGGTATGTTTTTTCTGTTTCTATTTTGTGGAATAATTTGAGGAGTATTGGTGATAGGAAGTAACCACTTCTTCTTCTTTTATTTTTTTTTTTTGAGACAGGTTTCTCTGAGAAGCACTGGCTGTCTTGGAACTCACTTTGCAGACCAAGTTGGCCTTGAACTTGAAGATCCATCTGCCTCTGCCTCTGCCTCTCCAGTGCTGGGGTTAAATGCATGAGCCACTACCACCCAGTGGTAGTAGCCATTCTTTAAGTGGTGTGTGTGGGAGCTCGGTTTTTAGGTTCCTCCTGGCTTTACCCAGCAGGTCTGTATAGAGAGGATGATTGGACCACGGGTCTGAGTGCAGGTGTCTAAGATGGTCTGCACTTGGCTGTGCTGGGTTGTGGGGAGGTCTTTTGCTCCACCCCTGGTGTTTCTATAAATACCTCAGGGCAGAGACAGTCAGGGCCTGTTGGAATAGGTTCCAGGCCCTCTCAAGGCTATTGTTTCTTTTCTTTTCTTTCTTTTTTGGTTTTTTTTTTTTTAGTTTTTCAAGACAGGGTTTCTCTGTGTAGCTTCGTGCCTTTCCTGGAACTCATTCTGTAGACCAGGCTGGCCTCAAACTCACAAAGATCCACCTGCCTCTGCCTCCCAGTGCTGGGATTAAAGGCGTGCACCACCACCGCCCAGCCTATTGTTTGTTTTTTATCTGTTTATCTCCACAATCTAAATCCTTCTGTCTAATATTTCCTGCTGCACGCACTCAAGAAAACTCTGGGGAACTGTGGGGTTGGTGGGTAAACGCCCCGCAGGTGTGAGACAGTATTTCTACAGATTTGATTTTGGTTTCCTTAATAACTAGAGGTTTTCAGTGCGTGTTTAGTGGTCATGTGTTGTCTGTAGAGAAATATTTATCGGAGTCTTTTGCCCACTTGAAAGTTAGGTTGAGTGTGTGTGCTCTGTTTCGCTGCTTTGTCGTTCTTTAAAGAGTCTATTAGCCCCTCACTAACGGTTTTCAAGTGTATTTGTCCATTCTGTAGGCTGCATTTCAAGCTGTTCACTGTGTTCTCCAATGCTCAATTCTTAGTTTTTTTAAAAATATTTATTTATTATGCATACAGTGTCCTGCCTGCATGCATCCCTGCAGGCCAGCAGAGGGCGCCAGATCTCATTACAGATGGTTGTGAGCCACCATGTGGGTGCTGGGAATTGAACTCAGGACCTCTGGAAGAACAGCCAGTGCTCTTAACCTCTGAGCCATCTCTCCAGCCCCCAATTCTTAGTTTTGATGTACTCTCTTTTTAAAAAAATTACATTTTGTGTGTGTGTGTGTGTGTGTGTGTGTGTGTGTGTGTGTGTGTGTCTTTATGGGCTCACTCCTTCCACACCGTGAGAATGGAGGTCAGAGGACAGCTTTTAGGAGCCAGTTCTCTTTATATGCCCTGGGGATTGAACTCAAATTGTCAGGCTTGGTAGCAGGTGACCCACCAAACCATTTTGCCAGCTCATTTATATTTATTTATTTATTTATTTATTTATTTATTTATTTATTTATTTATTTATTTGATACAGGGTTTCTCTATATAGCCTTAGCTGTGTAGACTGTGGTGGTCTTGAATTCAGAGATTCATCTCCCCTTGCCTTCCAAATGCTGGGTTTAAAGGCCTGCACCATCATACCTGACTCTCAAATATTCCTTTCTTCTTCAAGATTTATTTGTATGTGTTTGAGTGTCTACGTACTTGTGTGCAAGTGTGTGGGTCAGTGTATGTGCAGAATCCGAAGAAGGCATCTGATCCCTTGGAGCTGGACTCAGCAGGTGTTTGTCTGATTGAGTTTTTAGTGTAGACTGTGTCAAAGCTGGTGACCACTTTGAGTGGTATAGATTTTCACCCCCTCTCACAGCTCAGTCTGTGGACAGGCACTTCTGATCCTGTCTTCCCACAGTGTTGGGATACCGGGCCTATGCCATCATGCTTCTTCACACAGTGGCCTAGGGGTTGACCTAACCCCAGCTCTGTAAATGCTAGGCAGGTCCTCAGCAAACTGAGTTCCAGCCCTGCATTCTTTACTTTATCATTGAATGTGTCTTTAGATCTAAAGTGAGTCTCTTGTAGACAGAATCTATTTAAATCTTGTTCTGGTTTTTAAAATCAGTCAATCTTTATATTTGTGCTGGGAAGGTCAACTCATTTTTATCTTTAATAATTGCCTGTAGGGAGGTGCTTGATATTGGCATTTAGTTGTTCTGTGTCTTCTACTTTTTTTTTTTTTTTTTTTTTTGCTGCTTTGATTTGAGTTGATTTTTGAGGGGGGGGCAGGGGGTGGGTGGTGGTTTGAGACAGGATTTCTCTGTGTAAGAGCTCTGACTGTCCTGGACCTAACTCCTTTATAGACCAGGCTGGCCTTGAACTAACAGAGATCTGACTGCCTCTGCCTCCTGAGTGCTGGGATTAAAGGTGTGTACCATTACTGCCAGGCTTAATATTCTTTTTTTTGTTTAAAGATTTATTTTTATTAGTTGTGTATGTGTGTGCACGCGTGCATGCGTGCGTGCGTGCGTGTGTGTGTGTGTGTGTGTGTGCATGTATGTGTGTGTGTTTTGTGCATGAGTGCAGATGCCCAAGGGGGCCAGAGGCATCAAATCCCCTTAAAGCTGGAATTGCATGCTAGTGTGAACTGGCGCATCCTCAATTACTAATGAAAGTGAGTGTCGTTAGAATCTTCCTTTGTAATGTATACAATTTTGTTAGACAAAAGAAACCCTTTCCTAACTTAGTGACCATAAATAAATTAAATTATCCTCATCAATTTAAAGATGGACCTTTGGGGCTGGAGAGATGGCTCAGCAGTTAAGAGCTCTGACTGTTCTTCCAAAGGTCCTGAGTTCAATTCCCAGCAACCACATGGTGGCTCACAACCATCTGTAATGAGATCTGGTGCCCTCTTCTGGCCTGCAGAGACACATGCAGGCAGAACACTGTATGCATAATAAAGTCATTATTAAAAAAAAGATGGACCTTTAACCTTTCATTATGGATAGAAATGAGGCAGAGCTCTATTTTAAGAAAAAATTTTGAGCTGGGCATGGTGGCACATGCCTTCTATCCCAGGATCTCTGAATTCTAGGCCAGCCTGGTCTACAGAGAGTTCCAGGACAGCCAGGGCTGTTACACAAAGAAATCTTGTCTCAAAAAAACCAAGAAGAGAAAAAGAAAAAAAGAAAAAAATCTTTATGACTAGTCAACAAAGGAGCCTTTCTGGGGGTGCTACTGATGTTCAATGCGTTTCTGTTTCCACCTTTCTGGTTCTCCAGGCACAGAGGACAATGGCAGCAAAGCGAGGGCAGAGCACGGAAGAAGAAGGTTAAAGCCGCGACATAAGTTTACCGAAGTTCAGCTGAAGATACTCAGAAAACTGTTTGAAAACAGTAATTATCCAGATTTCGAAACCAAGAATAAGCTGGCACAGTGTTTCAGGTGCCAAGTGTACGTGATTGAAGTAAGTCAGATCTCTGAAGCTTTTTGTGAGGATGCCCTTTTGTGGGCCATTTGGAAAATGCAGCGAAGAATCACAAGAAAGCTGACGTGTCAACATGTCACCTTCTTTCAGTTTGACACAGCTTATACGGAAAATAACCTATTTTGAGGGGAATTTGGAAGCAGGGACAAGTTTAAGGACCTAAGCCCCTCCAGGGCTGGAGAGATGGGTTAAAAGCATGGGCTGCTCTTCCAGAGGAGCTGGGTTTGATGCCCAGCATCCACATGGCAGCTCATGCCTCTGTTACTCCAGTTCTAGGGGATCTGACGCCTTCTTCTGACCTTCACAAGCCCTTCACATGCATGGTCCGCAGATACACACGTAGGTGAAATACCATACAACACGTGCTAAAAAAAAAACTAGGCCATGAATGGTGTTTCATGCCTTTAATCCCCACACTGACATGGGTGCTGTGAGAGGCAGGTGGATTTCTGAGTTGAGGCCAGCTTGGTCTACAAAGCAAGTTCCAGGACAGCCAGGGCTACAAAGAAACCCTGTCTCCAAAAAACAACAACAAATGATAAAGTTATTGCCATTACCCAGGACAGGGACTGTGATGGTTTCACATCACATACAGATGTTTGCTGTGACAAGGACAAAGTAGGAAGACTTCTGGGTACTTTTAGTATTGAAAATGTTGACCTTTTTTTAAAAAATTTATTTGTTTTTTATGTAAACAGTGTTCTGCCTATATGTATGCCTGCATACCATAAGAGGGCACCAAATCTCATCAAAGATGGTTGTGAGCCACCATGTGGTTGCTGGGAATTGAAGTCAGGACCTCTGGAAGAACAGCCAGTGTCTTAACCTCTGAGCCATCTCTCCAGCCCGAAAATGTTGACCATTTTAAAGGTGGAGCAGTGTTGGCTGCTTTTTTACTCTTTGGGCTCTTTGTTCTTTGGGGGGCCCACCACCTAGCTCCCAAATAAATCACATGGAGGCTTATTCTTTTTTATGAATGCCCGGCCTTAACTTGGCTTGTTGCTAGCCAGCTTTTCTTAACTTAAATTATCCCATCTGTCTTTTGCCTCTGGACTTTTTCCTTTTCTTACCTCTGTATAGTTTACTTCCACTCTTACTCTGTGGCTGGCTGGGTGGCTGAGTGGCTGGCCCCTGGTGTTCTCCTCTCCTTGTTCTCTTGTTCCTTCTTTTTCCCAGATTTCTCCTTCTATATATTCTCTCTGCCTGCCAGCCCTGCCTATCCTTTCTCCTGCCTTGCTATTGGCCATTCAGCTCTTTATTAGATCAATCAGGTGTTTGAGACAGGCACAGTAACACAGGTCCACAGAGTTAAACAAATGCAACATAAAAGAATACAACACATCTTTGCACCATTAAAGCAAATGTTCCATAGCCTAAACAAGTGTAACGCATCTTAAAATAATAATTCTATATACAACAGAGCAGGGGAGAAAGGATTGCCCTGAAAAGTGAAATAAATGGATGACTGGAGTTGTCTTCATACAGAGGCCCCCCCATGCTGGACAGCTGGCTTGATCTTATGCAGGTCTACTGTTGTTTTAGTTAATCAAATTTCCTTTAAGTGTGAGTGAGCTCCTGAGTACAACAGCTGGAAGACAGCACTCACAGCACACTTCCCCGGGCTTTTACACTCTTCCACCCCTTCCTCCGTGATGTCCCTGATCCTTGGAGTGGTTTGTTGATGTAGATGTCCCTTGGAGGATTGGGCACTCACAAGCACTTAGTACCTTGACTGATTAGAAGTCTCTGCATTAACTACTGTCCACTGCAAAAAGAAGTATCTTTGACCAAGGTTGAAAGCAACACAAATATTTAGAAGGCAGCTTGACAACTTGATCATTTAGCAAAATGAGTAGGTTTCCCCACTAGTGGATTTAAACTCTGAATCTTTCTGCCTCAGCTTTCCAAGTGCTAGGATTACCGGTGTATACCATCAAGTGAGTTCCAGGATAACCAGAGGTACATAATAGGGACCCTGTCTCCAAACAAACAAATGAAAAAAAAAAAACAAAAACAAAAAGGAAAAAGAAAATGCACTGTGGGATACTGCTGCAAAGCAGGCTTAATTGGCAATTTCCTTTTTTCTCTTTAGAACTGGTTTCAGAATAAAAGATCCAGGCTACTACCAAAATTGAAAGGCAAAAATTTTGCCGCCAAGAGAACACACAAGAGCCAAGACTGCATGCTTACAGGCCACCAGGATACCCAGGCGCAAGCTGTCCATTCCACCACTGAGCAAGTCTCTTCTGTGCAGCTGGCTCCATGGAGTCTTGCTGCCTGTTCTGTAGAGACCCAGGAAGCTTCTGGCTCACGGGACTCCGCGATCCAAAGCATCGGAATGAGATCAAGTGGCGCTGCGTGTCATCAAGGCGCCGGTGGAAGTGGATTTCCTCTCAGCTTCACACCGACAAACTTTGCTCCTCCCTCTCTGCGTGGGCAGTATCCTATGGGTGACTGGCCTAAGACATGGAGAAGCCAGTGTTCTACGTCCTCTGTCTTTGGATGTGTTCCTAGTGTGCAAGGGCAGTGGTGGATGGATAGTAACTATGCCTTGCTGTTTCCAGAACAGCAGCAGAATAACTGGGGAGATCAGCCAGGACTGCTTCAGAGCGGGGATTTAAAGCATCAGGACCCATTCGATCCAAGTAATGGAGATGCAGCAGGCTCTCAGATGCAGCCTGCACCTCTACAAGAGGCAGTCAGAGCACCAATGCCTTTTTGGCTAGATGGGCAGCAAGGTGCTGCCAACAGCTGTGTATACTGCCCAGCAGGAGACGGGTCCCATCAAAACAGACCCGTAGGCTCCCCAAGGCTGCCCTGGGACCAGCAGGAATTTAAGGAGCAGCATTGGGTGGGGCTAAGGTGGAGTTCAGGAATCTTACAACCTTCTGTGAAACCGTTAACACATAACGAAGATCCAGGATTCCCACGTGTAGATGAATTTCTAAACAAACATCACATCACCACACCTGGGGTTAGGGATTTAGCTCAGTGGTAGAGTGCTTGCCTAGCAAGCGCAAGGGTGGAACTCCACCCTTTACTTGATTTTTAAGCATGCCCTGACTGCCATGATAGGACATAGTAATAGTGGTGGTCTAGATGTAATTTTTTTCTTTAGGCAAATAAAGATTCAACTTCTTGAGTGGGTGTCGTTGCCTGGCTTTACAGCATCTTCAGACAGTTTCTATGGGTATTTCCCAAGGATTTCTGTCAACTCACAAGTGCCCCATCTGGAAATTTCAGATTTTCTTTCCTTTCACTCACTTAACAGAAGTGGGAGCTGTTGATTTCCTATGTGGTAGAAGTTAACCAAATTTCTGAAGCTCATCCACAGCAAAGCAGCTTGTAGGGGAAGTCTGCTCATTTGCACCCCTATTACGTCCTCTCCCCACCCCCAACAGGGTTTCTCTGTGTAGCCCTGGCTGTCCTGGAACTCATTGTAGACCAGGCTGGCCTCGAACTCACAGAGATCTGCCTGGCTCTGCCTTCCGAGTGCTGGGATTAATAAACAGGTTAAACGTATTTTTACATCTATTTATCATGAGGGGGCAGGCAGGGCGGTGTGCGTGCATTCACGGAGGTCCAAGGTTGTGGGAGCACATTCTTGCACCGTGTGGGTTTTGAAGATCAAACCTTGGCTCTTTAGTGCCAGCGGCTGTCCCAGCCGAGCCACCTTTATGGCCCTGCTGAGGTTGCTTTTCTTCCTGGAATTGCAAGCCTGCACCACTCCATCTGACGGCTGTGGTGCTCGGATGTGAGCCCAGGCCCTGTGCATACACTGACAAATATTTTTTTCTCACTAAAAAGGTTTAGCAAGAGGGTTGGAGAGATGGCTCAACAGTTAAAAGCACTTGTCGCTCTTTCAGGGGACCAAGATTCAGTTCCCGGCACCCTCATGGTGGCTCACAGCTTGCTGTAATGCCTTGTGACTTTGGAGGGTATCAGGCACACATGTGGTGCACATATATACTTGCAGGCAAAACACTCCTATACATAAAATTTTAATTAAGAAATTGTTAGCCAGTAAGCAAGGCAGGCACTCAGAACGGCATCCGTATTAATGCACCTGCAAATATGACTTTGACTTTTATTTTCAGGAAAAGCTAGAGATCCAGCTGAGCTAGGCCAGAGGCATTCCTGCCCCATTACTGTAATCTTTTACACATGTGCTCCATGACCTGAAGCTAAACATGCCCAAATATGTCTGTTCTGGGTTGTTCTTAAATTGTGACGTTAAACTGAGCATGCTCAGGAATGCACCAACCCCTGTGAGCATGTGTAGGCTCCCTGGATAAAACCTTTGTTCCAGGAGGGCCTTGCTTTGGAAATAACTCGTGTGCTGTCTTTGCCTGTTGCAGGTAATATGTCTTCCCCCACTCTTTTAAATCTTGGCTATCTATCATTGTTTTGTCTTTGCACCCACAAAGATGTGAAGTCATTGTTTCCAGTTAAAGAATTTTATGAAATTTCAAATACAGGAGCGTATATTATGAGCTCTCATCTTTATATTGCACTTTGGCCAGTTAGAATAATGTCCTCCAAGTCCCTCCATGTTTTGAACAACAGGGTTTCTTTGTTAGAACCAGGAGTATTTGGGACAGGAGTCTTGCCATGTTGCCTAGGATGGTCTCAGATTCTTGCAGTACTATTGAGCTAGGTTGGTCCGAGACATTCCCTACATCCCTGTTGTACGGAGAAGGAATGTAGTTCCTTGTCTGAAAGCAGAATTATGTTTGGCAAGGCCAGTCATGGCCTGGGGCCAGGGTCCTGGGGGAGCTGCTGCTTCATCCTGAGAATTCAGCTCCTCCCACATAGAGTGCTATGGTTATCAGTCCCACAGCTGAGTGTCCTCTGAATGCAGTTGAGATAGCTTGTGTCCCTTTGTGCGACATTGCTTGATTAGCTTCCTGCTGGCTTTGTCCCATCTTCCCCCCTGAAAGCCATATAGAAGAAGTTGTACTTCTTTTTTGTTTTGTTTTGTTTTTGGAGACAGGGTTTCTCTGTGTATCTTTGGCTGTCTTGGAACTTACTCTGTAGACCAGGCTGGCCTTGAACTCACAGAGATCCTCCTGCCTCTGCCTCCCGAGTGCTGGGATTAAAGGTGTGCACCACCACGCCCGGCCTAGAAGTTGTACTTCTTAACAAGATTGAAGATTTCCTGACGCCAGCTTTGCTACCTTCTCTATCCTCTCACACCTTGGGTCACTCTCTCTCTCAGGAAACTGACATTGAAGAACTACCTGCTGGACTAGGTCAGATTACAGTGACCCTCCTGTGTCAACCTGGAGTAGCTGGGACTACAGGTGTGTGCCATGATCCCTTACTAATTTCCTTAACTGAAAAACTGAATAGCATCATTCACTTTTATCCACTCACCTGCCGATGACTGCTTAACAGTGGATGCCGTACAATGATGTTCTTGGGAGACATATGTTGGTAGAAAATGAACTAAGCTGGATAAGGCTTCATCTGATTTTGAGCTAACTTAACTAAAAGAGTTATGCGGAGGATGCATCGGCAGTTTTGGACAAACTGCCGAAGGTAAGGTGTAAAAAACCACAATGGCCTGTCATGTCACAGGGAACCTCCATGATTGCTGTTGAGCACCATGGCATTGCTGTCCCCAGCATTTCCTGAGATGGTTTGTATGATCTTTTCTTAGAGCTTTGTTCAACAGCAATGGCTTGGTGTCAAGAGCTGGGCTCAGTGAGGCCCCAAATGCTTGCTATACAGAAGCACCAAACGCAAGTCAATGATTCTGTTTTAAACAGCTTGGAGTAGCCAGGCGGTGGTGGCACACGCCTTTAATCGCAGCGCTCCAGAGGCAGAGGCAGGCATATCTTTGTGAGTTCTAGACCAGCCTGGTCTACAGAGTGAGTTCCAAATTCTCAAAGTTGCCTTCTTTCTATTCCTCACTAAGAAAAACACACCGGTGATCTTGTATACAACAGTCTCTCACTCCAAATGAGATATCCAAACAAGTTGGGAACCATTTTTCTTTAATATGGGCTATTGTCTTTCTTTGGTGACTAGCTGAAGTTTAAGTTCTGTTGAAAGGAAAAACAAGTTTAAATTATATGAGTGAGTTTAAAGAACAAAGCAATGAGAATGATTCGAAACTTGGGTTGCCCTTAGAGTCAGAACAATTTCTAAGAGTTGTAGCCAACAACAGACATAGTAGGATTTAAAGAAAACAAATCGAGGAGCTAATTCAACTGGTTCCAGCTTAATTATAAAGTCGGAGTGTTGGCTTTCTGTCACCAAGATAGACAACTTAAAAGTTTAAAATATTTGTTTTGGGTCATAGAAATTGTCTTTCTTTAGGTTTTTGTTTGTTTTGTTTTGTTTTGAGATTTACTTTTTTTTGTATGTGTGTGCATGGGAGTCTTGCCTGCTTATGTTTGTGCAGTGCTTAAAAAAAACAGAAGAGGGAGCTAGAGTCCCTTGGAACTGGAGGTACAAATGGTTTATAGATGTTGTGTGGGTCCTGGGGATTGATCCTTGGTCCTCCAGAAGAGTGGTCAGTGCTCTTAACCACTGAACCATCTTTTTAGCCCCCTTTCCTTTTGAAATAAGGGCTCTTGTATCCCAGGCTAGCTCAGAACTCCCTATATAGCAAACTTACTATGTAGCTGAGGATGACCTTGAACTTCTGGTCCTGTGCCTGTACTCCCTTAGTGCTGATATGTGCCATCATACTTGGTCAGTGCAGTGCTGTGGGTTGAATTTAGGGCATTGCGTATAGCGGGAAAGCAATACCAACTGGAAGTATGTCACCTTCAAAGGTGTACCCTGAGTGAGCCAGCTTCCTCCAGTTAGGCTGTGTCCTAAAGATCCCACCACCTCCCAACAGCACCATAAGCAAACAACCACATCTCTAGCATATAGCCCCCAAGGACATTTGAGATCCAATGTATAATACAATGTTTATCTTATTTATTTATTTATTTATTTATTTTATAATGCTTATGTTTTATGACTGAATTCCATGTGGTTTGCTGTGCCTGGCTTTAGTAGAGGAGAGTATCTCAAATCAATGGCCTCTCACACATTTTGTTGAGCAATCCTTAAAATCACGGGAGCACCTGAGCAAACACCTACCCATGATTCTTTTTTTTTTTTTTTTTTTCTTTCTCAACATGTAGCTCTGGCTGTCCTAGAACTCACGATGTCGACCATACTGGCCTTAAACTCACAGAGATCCACCTATTTCTGCCTCCCAGGTGATAGGATTGAAGGCGTGTGCCAGGTTATTGACCAGGCGGACCTTTAGATTTTGAGCCTGAGAGAATTGACAGACAGGCGGAAACATTTCCCTTCGAAGACGGATTTTGCCAGGCGTGGTGGTGCACATCTTCAGTCTCAGCACTCAGGAGGCAGAAGAAGGTGGACCTCTGAATTCGAGGCCAGCCTGGTCTACTGCGCAGTTCTAGGGCAGCCAGGGTTACACAGAGAACCCCTGTCTCAAAACAAGCAAACAAAAACAAACAAACAAAAAACCCAAACAAAATAAAAGAAGGACTCTTTGCCCTTCAAATTTCACATCAATTATTAGCAAAAGGTTGTAACACACAGTAACGATAAATGTATTTCTGGGACTGTTGAGAGATAGGATCATAGACTGACCTCTGTGATAGATCATTAGCTTCTAAGTGGGGGCTGGGATACAGCTTAAAGTTTTTGCCCTGTAAATTGTGAGGATCAGAGTTCAGATTCCTAGAACTCTTGTACAAATGCTGGGCAATGCTAGTTGCTTGTAATCCCAGCACTCAGGAGGTCGAGACAGATCCCTGGGGTGCGCGTGGTAGTTAGACTGTGATTCACTAAGTAGTGCTATGAAAATGAACGGCCTCCAGAGCAAGTGGCTGTCTATGACAAAGTTTATCTCACACCCTTTCAGTCTATTCCACCCTCTTGTGATGCTTTGCAGTGAGTTAGTGAAAGGACTGAGCATTCATTTCTAGAATTTTCATTTGCTGTTTTTATTCAGAATGCATGTCTCTTTGAATTTCTCAAACTGCTGTATTTCTTATC